ATGAAGATTTGACATAGCTATGACTGAAACTGAATTACATCTCCTAGAGACTCGGGTAAAATATGGATTTGGTTATATCTTTCTCAATTCTTAACCGTTTTTGATGAAACAAAAACCCAATAAAAGGCAATAAACGTGGTTACAAGGCTATGTAACGCACGTGACCGTTTAACCGGTTCCAACCGATTAAAACCGGTCTTTGAACGGTTTTAAAAGATTTTCGAAATGAGGCAACCAGCAACCGGACCAACCCCAAATTGGGGCAACTGCAACCGAAAAAAAGACCGGACCATGGTCTGGTTCAGTTCGGTCCACCGGTTTTTTGTGGTCCTATGGACTGAACCTTTAAACACTAGTTACCTTAGAGCTCCTTGCCGAATCGACCTTTTTGGACGATCTTGACCACAATTGGACCACATGTTCGCTGTTCCGACAAGACGACCAGAATTTTTCGAACCTTCTACCAAATGTATCGTTGAGTCTGTACGTGAGCAGCGCAGGAGTGAGCGAATTGCACCTTCCTTAGGGATTTTTGTCTGATATTACTGTCAATTATAAACGTAATTTTGGTCGGAGGCTTTGCCGCAAGTGACTGGCTGTATACCAAAGTTTCGGAACGGTTGAAGCCTGACGGCTTCACCGTTATTCAGGCACGATAACCACGTGTATGTCATTTTCATTAAGAGGCATTTTATCACAGCTGAAGGAGATTTAGTAACAAAGCCGTAGCTGACGGTGCGCTCTCCTACTACTTACATTGACCACTACCTTGCGACCACCACGTCAAGACTCGAGTAACAAAGATCACATATGGTAGCCGTGGTGGAATCAACTATGATTCTTTGAATCCCGAGCATTCGAAACGCTCCCACCTGCCAGTTTTAACTTCTATTTCTGGTGTCAAGCATTTAGGCGGCAGTATCTTCTGGGTTTTATTGCCAAGTTGCCAACCGTACGTCATGAACCTGTTTGCCCTTCCTCCTCCGATTTTCTTATGTTTTCTGTAGAACCGAAACGGAGGAGTTTAGGCGAGCCCATTGCTGGGAGTTTGACAACTTGAGCCGGTTGTCAACTGCTTCGACGGCAGT